CACATACGGAAAAGATAAATCAAACATAAAATAACCAAGGACCTTCCACACTAAAGTCCTTTTTCATGTAACTAAACCATAAACCGCGAATTGACAATTTTCTTCCATTGTCCCTTTTACCTCACACGGCCCTAACCACAAAGGCTAAAAGACCAGTGATCCGACATGTAATACACCGGCCTTAGGCTGCAATCCTGTTTCTCTGGGTATTACAATCGGTAGTCACGGCCCTAGGCTGCAATCTCGTTCCTCCGTGACTAGCGATATCTGGAAGTGTCAACCGCTCTCTACAATTGTTAGAACATTACATGATCCTCTTGATCACTTGTAACGCCTAACCTCACACACAACATAAAAATTTACCTTTGACCCGCATGTATCTAGACAGATCACACGCGGATCTGCTTCCTCTTGAAATCATGCATCCACAAAGGTAAGTGGCAAAGACAAACATAAACATCCCATGACTCATGCAGAACGGATCTAGGTTCCTCGACTACTCCACGATCTAACAAATCTTCCCTTTCCTTAAAACAGACAGAGTTTCGGTTTGAATCTTGATCATTCCAACCATCCAAACCACAAAGGGTTGGATTCAAGATCACAAGACGAAACTAAGTTAGATAGAAAAGTTAGGATCGGAACGCCTTACCCTAAAAATTTTACGGCACTACTGAATGGTTTCCGACAACAGACCGCGAATTGGATCACGATCACGAACTATTTTGGTCAGAGGTTTGGAACATTTTCTATGTAAGAAATGAGAGATACTTGGTCCTATTTATAGGGTTAAGCAAGCAGGTAGGCACAGTAGGACGGTCAGAAGTGTGTGTCGTGCTTGCGGATTTGTCGTGCTTGTGGATTTGCCGTGCTTCTGATGACTCATCACACAAGATCGCGACACCTCGTGCTTACGAGATTTGTCGTGCTTGCAGATTTGTCGTGCTTGCGGATTTGTCGTGTTTGTGGATTTGTCGTGCTTCCGATGACTCGTCACACAAGATCGCTACACCTCGTGCTTACGGGATTTCTCGTGTTTCTGATTTGTCGTGCTTGCGGATTTGTCGTGCTTGCGGATTTGTCGTGCTTGTGGATTTGTCGTGCTTCCAATGACTCGTCACACAAGATCGCGACACCTCGTGCTTACGGGATTTGTCGTGTTTCTGATTTGTCGTGCTTGCGGATTTGTCGTGCTTGCGGATTCCAAGCACGTCAATCCCGAGCAGATGTGTCGTGCTTCCGCAAACTTTTATATTTTTGTAAAAATATCAAGTTTGAAAGCACCTTGCCACCTCATMCTTCTCGTCACGTCGTGCTTTGGGCCACCTCGTGCTTAAAATCCCGTCATGCTTGACAATTTTTCTTCCATCAACTAGGTCTTGGCTCGATCATCTCTCGTAATTTTTTTGATCTCTTGACAGGGTCATTACACCGACCACATTCACATGCTTTATTGATGGTTCGTGGAAGAATGAGGACCCCACGAGTGTGATTGGCTGGACTCTACACCTGAAAGATGGAGAGATCGACCTGCTAGGGATATAGGCTCTCCGTTGAAGCACGTCCCCTCTACATACAGAGTTCCATAGTCTGATATGGGCATTGGCAAGTTTAAGGAAGAAAAAGCGAGATTTGATTTCGTCACCGATTCCCAAAAGTTAACTATGATGGTCCAAGAACCGGACAAGTGGCCGCGTTTTAAGTCAGAGCTGAGAAAACTGGCGGATCTAAGAGCATATTTCTGATACTTTACTCTAAGGTACTGTCCAAGGAAGATGAATGCGCGGGCAGACCTCCTGGCCCGGTATGTTGGGCAAAGGAATGTAGTGTTTTCCCACATTAACATCTCGGTTCCATTTTGATTCCCAAATACAACTGTATTCGTGTAAAATAGGATTGTAGTGCTGATTTTGAGAAGGCAAAGGTGCAAAAAATTTTCAAGAGGCTTTGCATACCATGCGGTCGCAATTGAAAAAAGTTACTGCAATGGTCGTAACGAGTAACTAACTTTAATAGCAATTGAAAAGAAAATCCAGTTGATAAGGAAGATGTTGTTGACGATACAAAGAAGATTGATTTTTTTAGCAACGAAATTGAGAGGCTAAAGGTAAATAGCTGATGAAAGATATATACTGATGAAAAGATTGAGACGGAAACAACTTGCGATAGTATAAATATGACTGAAACTGGAGGCATGTATTTGCAAGGTGGAGAGGAGTTTGGCAATATTAGAAAATGCCAAAATGGAAAACAAGAGGAAAGCACATCAAATATGAAGTTTATGCTTAGGATCTCGGAACAAAACAACAATATATGTCACCCCTGTCAATCTTTTGATTTCTTTTGGGTTTTTTTTGCATATGTAGAGAACTTATAAGAAACAACGTTTAATGGTGTTAGCATTTGAACTCTCTTTTTGTAATTATATAAAACGAATGAGAGAATTAAACGTAGAGAAACGCGGATTGTTTCCTCTATTCCAAAACAAACAAAAATAGTAAGAAATCGAAACAAAAGAAAATGTATTTATTTTACTTTTAAATGTAGTTTTTAATCTTTTCGTAAAGTTGTATATAAGCATTTTTACTTTTAGGACAAGATACTGTTTTCAACTATTAAAATTTTCCCTTTCAAATAGAATTAAGTTGCAACTGGCAAGAAATATAAGTTTGTTCAATATTTTGAAACAAAATTGTGATGATTTAGTTTGTTTTACCTAATAAGGAATACCCCATCATTTGCAAGAAATATAATTTTTTTATAATTTAACATCCATTTGTGAGTGTTTAGATTTGCCTATTAGGATGTAGTACCCCTTAATTTGCAAGAAATATATTTTTCTGTATTTCAAAAACATTTGTGACGGTATAGGCTCACCTATTATGATTTAGTACTCCTAAATTTGCAAGAAATATAAATTGTTCAGTATTTTACGTGCATTTGTAAGGATTGAGGCTCACCTATTATGATTTAATACTCTTTAATTTGTAAGAAATATAAATTGTTTCTACAATTTTAATGTGCATTTTTAAGGATTTATGCCTATATATATTAGGGGTTGGACCCTTTAATTTTCCAAAAACAAATCAATGGTATATTTATATACAATCTAATTTTCAAAATTTTAATGTCCACGCTAGGCACGGACTCCTCCACTAAAAATCAGATCAAATTAAAACTTTATTTCTTTTTACAATGTTACATACGAAACAATTATAACCGAACTCAATCAAACTTCAGTTTTGTTCAATGTGTCATGGGTTAAGGCTCCCTTTTTAAGGTCTAACGCCTCTTAAGAATCGAATCGTAGTTTTATTCAGTGGGTGAAGGTTAAGGACCCCCTCTTAGGATTTAGCTCCTCTTAATGATTCGTTTTTTTATCGTTTTAATTAATACTTTATGCATGTATATGTTATTAGATGTGTGATTCCGTAGAGCTACATGTGAGATATTAGCACTAAATAGAACTTCATTTCATAAATTAAACATCTACGTAACGAGTACTGCTTAATGTAAAGTCACCTGACTTGCACAGTTGGTATGTAGCTCAGAAAATATGTCGAGTCAATAATTGTTTTGTATTATTAGACCATCCACATTGCACACAAAATGTGGATGTCTCTAAATAAAAAAATATTAAAAACACATTCTCTCTTCTTTTTATTCAACTTTATACCTTTTTTTCATATTTTACTCAACTTTTATTAATTTTATATTTAAACACACTCTAACTTTTATCGATTCTCTCTCCAACTTTGTCTTCTCATACATCCCAAAAGACATTCTCTCTCCAATAATACCCACTATCTCCTCTCTTTACTCAAATTTTATTAATTTTATATTTCAATACACCATATTATTTCAACTTTTTACCTTCTCTTTTTTATTTTTACTCAAATTTTAATAATTTTTTTTGTAGAGACATCCATATTTTGTCTCCAACGTGGATGCTCTTCACGTAAGTGGAAGAGCCCCCACCACGAAAGGATGGTTTTATCGATAGAAAACGTGAGTTAAATCTAGACCGTAAGATCAGATATCAACGGCTCTCTTACATTTGAACCATGCACAGATGATATCATGATAGTAATGTTTTTGTCGTGATACATGTGATTGCTACTAACTCTACTATCCGCGTAATTTTTAAAGGCAGCTGTTTCTTGTTTGTACTCTAAACTCTATTTACAAATCTACATAAAAATATTGTGGAGTCCCATAAGTCTTAAATTATATTGTTTAGTACAGAGTCATATTATTGATCTTTAGGAAATCAATAATGGAGCAAATATTTTCATGGGGCAGCTGCCACCTATATAATCTTAGTGCATCCGCCCCTGACCTATTATAGAGATAATTTTGGCGACACTTCAATCGCTTTTTTTTTGTCATATGAAAATTTATTAAACAAGATAAAATACAAGTAGAATTCAAAGCTGGAATAGATCCAGAAACTAAGACGGCGGACAAACACATATCTCAGAGTCGAAAACCACACAAGGGAAACATGATTTTAAACAAAAAAACATACAAAAGATAGAAATTCACCACTTTGACAACTAAAAAATGTAGATAACCTAGCTCAACCATGATCTTTACCTGAGAAAAAACCTTTTCTCAAAACAAATAATAATTATAATAAACAAATAAACGAAGAAAACATTTTTGGCTCTATAAATATTAACGTGAACTACAAGAACCATCACAGACACTCTTTCCAATGGCAACAACCAAACATGTTTCGTCTCCTAAACCATTTCTCACCTTTCTTAATCTTCTCATTGTAGCCGCCACCGCAACTACGGCGTCTAACAAACCGGTGGTTTTAATGATTTCTTGCGATGGTTTCCGGTTCGGCTACCAATTTAAAACCGACACACCAAACATCGACCTTCTCATATCCGAAGGAACCGAAGCAAAACTCGGTTTAATCCCGGTCTTCCCCACCATGACATTCCCAAACCACTACTCTATCGCAACCGGACTCTACCCGGCTTACCACGGTATAATCATGAACAAATTCACTGATCCGATAACCGGAGAAGTGTTCAACAAAGGCCTAGACCCCAAGTGGTGGTTAGGTGAGCCATTGTGGGTAACCGCAGCAAACCAAGGTCGCAAGGCTCTGACTTACTTTTGGCCAGGCTCTGAAGTTCCCAAAGGTTCTTGGACTTGCCCTAAAGGATTGTGCCCACACTTCAATCTTTCTGTTCCTTTCGAAGAAAGAGTCGACACGATCTTGAGCTATTTAGATCTCCCTAAAGACGAAATCCCTGATTTGATGATGTTGTATTTCGATGAGCCAGACGGTGCGGGTCATAACTATGGTCCTGATGATCCCCGGGTTACAAATGCTGTCGCGAGGGTCGATAATATGATCGGTAGGGCTATTCAGGGGTTAAAGAAGAGGGAGATCTTCGATGAGGTTCATGTGATATTGCTTGGTGATCACGGAATGGTGACTAACTGTGACAAGAAAACGATTTACATTGATGATTTAGCAGATTGGATCAAGATACCCGCGGATTGGATCAACGCCTATAGCCCGGTACTAGCAATAAATCCCCGGTGGGGAAAATATGTCGAAAACCCAGCCGAGAAGAACGCGGAACTCGTGGCCAAGATGAACGAAGCTTTGAGCTCAGGTAAAGTAGAGAACGGAGAGTTTTTGCAAGTTTACTTAAAGGAGAAGTTACCGAAAAGGCTGCATTATTCCGATAGTTCTCGGATTCCGCCGATAGTAGGAATGGTCGGGGAAGGCCTTTTGGTTAGACAAAACAGAACAAACGCACACGAATGTTACGGAGATCATGGATACGACAACAAATACTTCTCCATGAGATCTATCTTTATTGGACATGGTCCAAGGTTTAGGAGAGGAAAGAAAGTACCGTCGTTCGAGAATGTTCAGATCTACAATGTAGTTGCAGAGATACTCGGACTTCTACCAGCTTCGAATAATGGTTCTGCTTTGTTCACTAACAACATTCTCTCGCAGTTTGGAAAAACAGGGGAAGTAAAATGAAGCTAAATATCCTTATCTATGTGTTTTTTAGCTTCTGATGTTTTTTTTTGTTTAAATCTGGAAAACGAATAAGAAATGAATAAACGTTTTTAAAGCTGAACCCACGCTGCTAAATTCGTGAATGTATATCCTAGTCATTAGTCATTACTCATTATCAACATTGTTCCTAAATATTAAAATTTAAGACTTTTTTCTAATTCTAGATCTTTTTTAAACTTCAAATCTACACTAAAACTTTAAAGAGTTTACATAAAAAACCTTATACTTTTTTTAAATGACAATTTAGTCTTTATTAATAGGGTCAATTTGTAGTATAATAAAAAAAAAATTATATTTAAAAACTTAACCAAAAACCCTAGATCTAATGGGTGAGACTTAGCCATATATATAGGTTTTGGCTAGATTTTTAGATATAATTTTTTTTTTGTTATACAACCAAATTTCCCATATTAATAAGTGAACATAAAACCATATAAGTCTAATAACAAAAAATATGTCAACAAGAGAATAAAGTTGAGACAATTGCAAAAATGCACTTTTTTGTGTACATGTACAAAAATGCCACTATATATTGTCCATTTGCAAAAATATCACTTATTATAAATTTTTAGAGTCTAAATCTTAAAATTTTAATTCCTAAAAAATGTTTTGACCCTTAAAAACTCATAAAGCCTCGAAATTAAGTTCTAATACAATATAGTTTATCCAAACATAAATGATATAATGAATAAATAATTTTGAAAAGTGGAATTTTTGTAAAGATTTTGAAAATGTGATATTTTTTAAAAGTGGCACTCAAAAAGTGACACTTAAAAAATGACATTTCTCAAAATTTCTCAATATAGTATAAGGGTGTCAATGATAATAGAGTAATCTGGCGAAATATGGCAAAAAATTTGGTGACTTTTTATAGAATCTGACGGAATCATTTTAAATTCAAATGGTGACATCTAAAATTTGTAAATTTTCTGAAAATAAATTAATAAAAATTGTGTTTTTCGAAATTAAATATTTATGTTTATAATGTATTAAATTTTACAAAAATAATAATCTTTTATTAAGTTATTTACTAAATCTAACTTATTTCATTAATATTATCATTTTTTATGTTTGTTAAGCAATATTTACAAGTATTTTTTGTTTATTAACTACTAAATATAAGTTTACCAAAGTATTTGACATAAAATATGAAATAACTAATTAATAACTTTAAAAAATAAAATTTTCAACAAAATTAGCCAACTCTCTATTTTTTATCATTTAACAATCAAATTAACAAATAACTTGCAATTTTTTGAATAATATTAACAATTAATTAAACAACAGCAATTTTACCAACCATTTTTGTATTTTATTCCTTTTCGAATCTTTTGATTTTTTTTGGCATTTTGTATTTGTTTCAATTATATGTTTGGAATTTTCTGAAAAATTTCAATTTTGAAATGCTATTTTTCAAAAATATCACTAATATGATATTATTTATTCAAAATATTATTTACATGGTTAACTATGTTATGTTAGGGTTTAGTTTTTGGGTTTCGGATTTGTTAGGGTGAAAACATTTTATTAAGTTAAAATTTTTAAGATTTAAGGCTTAAAATTTCCTTAATTT